ATTTGTGTGGCAGGTGATGGGCTGGAGCTTGATGTTGTCCCATCCAGGTGACCTGCATAGGCTGCAGTGAGATGTACAGGATATGTGACATTCATTCTCCCCAGGGAAGCACAGTATCAAGAGCAAGATCATGTAACAGGAGCTTCTGTGGTAGATGCAAGACCTTGCCCTGAACACATTGTGGTTACACGATCTGATCCTTTGTCTTCTGTTGCCGGGAGGCTGGTAGTGTGGGTGACATTTAGTTTCTTTTTGTATGTGCACTAGTGACTCTTCTGTAAGCATCTTGAAGTATTCCCCGTCAAATGACAGAGAGACAAAGTGTATTTCCTGATGGATAAACCAAGGCAGAGAGGCTGATGCTCTGATACTGAGAATTCATCTGGAACTGAGTCATGGTAACACTGAAAGTGTTTATTAGAAACTTACCGAATTTAAGACACATTTCTCCAAACATCTAACAAATAGAAAACTAGTCTAGGTTTTGAACTTCCCTGAAAACACAAGGCTTTCTGCCAAATTTTACAACAAGCAAAAAGGGAAATGCTAGAATTTACTGTCAGATCTGTTCTGAGGTCCTACAGGGTCCCAGCTGCAGCGAGGGGACCATGGCAGGACTCACCTGCGTGAGCACGGACTCCCGGCGCTGTGTGGATGGAACATCGTACACCTCACTCCTGATATTTGGGACAGAAGCCCGGCATGCTCTCGGCAGAGTAAGCAGGTGCTTTTAGGGGAAAAAACCAAAACAATAATAAGAAAGCTGCAGTGAGCAGTAAGGTCAGGATATCTTAGAAAACTTAATTAGCTGAACAGGCCACCAGAGTAATCACCCTGAAGTGATTCAAAACCTTTCGGCTTTTCACGGATAGTGATAAAGAGGAACTGAGCTTACAAGCAGACATGGTATTTTTCCCCCATAATTCTCCTTTGACAACACTTCTGCTCTATTTCAGATAAGATAATAATTGGCACAACGAATCAAAGGCTTGTTAAGCAAGGGAGAGAAAAGATTTGGAGAAAATCCAGCTTCAGTTATCACTTAAATCTTTACCCTAAAGCAGAACTACTAAAAAAACTAAGGAAGTGGGGGAATTTCTACTTCTCCAGACTCACAAAGCTGTAAGGTCAGGCCACATTTAGTGGGAGTAAGAGCAGCAAAGGACATGGAGAAATTTCTACTTTTCCAGACTCACAAAGCTATTAGGTCCAGCTGCATTTAGTGGGAGTAAGAGCAGTAAAAAGGTACAGGCTGAGGTGCATTATTTTGTAGTTATGAAAAACCGACTCATTTGGCAGGAGCAAACACAGTTACCTCGATGTCCTGTCCAGGTCCGTAAACAGGTAAGTCTGATATGGGAATTACATTATTCAGGTAATTTACAGACTGATTCTCACGTTTGCTTAAAACATTGTTTTAAGAGCTATGACCAGATCTGTGGGACAGTTAGTTAAGATGCCAAAATATGGATATTGGGAAAGGACTTTTTTAAAATCAACCCCAAACCCATGAAGTTTTGCTCATTTAGCATGGCTTTCGCCTGGCTCTCTGCAGCTAGTATTGTAAACTACCGGCCCATAGAAACCCCACTGTGTTACAAATAACTACTTAAAATTGGAAGTAGTGTTCTCCATCATGTGAGTGAGTGTTGCAGTGACTAAATTTAGGGGAAATATGGTAGAGGAACAAGACTCCAGCTTTATGACTGCCTGCTGTGTCTTTGTGAAAGCTCCTTGCTCTCATCTGAAGAAAAGGAATGGTGAGTTAAGGCAAATCCCCTGAGCGCTCTGCCCTGTGAGCCGTCTTGCTTGCAAACAGAGGCAGTGGAGACTGCCCTGAGTAGAAAGGGTAAAAGCCATCCTTAGCCCAGGTCTGTTTTCAGATGGACAAATCTTACTCAGGATACAGCAAAAAGGAAACTCACCAAATATGACATCTTAATATTTTTTTAAAGTACATGCACTCACACTAAAGCAAGAAGATGCCCTCTGTAATAGGCAGAAGTGACTAGGCTCTGAGGGATTTTGTTTTATTGCTTTCAATCAGCTCCCTCTAAGACTTACAGTGGCTTTACCCAGCTGCTGAAAGGACAGCTGGGAATGCCAGGAACTTTGCCGGTTGTCCCAGAGGATCTCTGCGGAGCGGTTCGGAGCGCTGCGGATCGTTCTGCATTCGCACGGGCTGTTCATCCCTGAGCCTGCCTGTGCATCTGCTTGTGACCACCACGGTACAGTTGGTGTAACAGCTGTGACATTGTGCAGGAGGCAGCTCAGGCAAATCTCAGCTTCTAAATAATAAAAGTCCCCCCCCCCCCCTTTTTTTTTTTCCCTTTTCGTTAGAGTAAACAAGGCTTAGGTATATAAACTCATGAAATGACAAAGAGACAGGAATAGCCAAGGAGCTCTTCTGTTGGGCCACTCATTCACTCAAATAATAACAGATGACATTTTCAGCCTGATTTGCTGGCACAACATAAAAAAAAAATTGCATCAAATCAGATCACAGCAAGTGCAAAAGAGTCTTTTGTACGTATTACTCAGTTTGAGCTTGCAGTTACGGTAACTGTACACAAAGGCTGAATGTGCCAGCTGCAGCACTGAAAATTAGGTTTCAGGCACCAGAGAAGTACAAGGTTTGTCTCTTTTCCAGCAACTATTTGCCACCCAGAGGGAACCAGCACCTCGGTTTCCATAATTTGCCTTTCAGCACAGTGGGATGAAAGCTAGCTGACCGAGCCCCATAAATCAAAGGACCATTAAATCAGCCTGAAAAGCTGTATACTTCAGGACTGAATTTCTTCCTTTTCCTTTTTTTGATTAACATTTCTAACATATTTTTTCATGCATGGAATAAATAGCCACCTGGGGCTGGAGAGCTCACAGGACTGAACAAAAACTTGTACTTGAACTCCCTCCCCACCTGCTCTATTTACCTTTCATTATTAAAAGATTCCCCACTCATGCTGAAGAAAGTGTAAGTTGTTTTTTTAATGTTAAGATGCTTGATGTAACATTAAGTTACATTTTCAATTTACATATTTCATCTGAATGCCCAGAACAAGGAGCAGGGAGAAAGAAGAGGCCGGGCAGCTGGGGTGAAGCCCTGGAAAGCTCAGTTTGCAATTCCCCTCCAAAACTGGAGGGACTGGTGGCTGCTCTCATTCCATACACCCTGGTCACTGCCTCAGCAGCCTGGGAGAGAAAAAAAACCAACAAACCAAACAAAACCACCAAAGCCAAAACTAACAAGCCACACATACAATGAAAAGAAAGAAGTTGGGAGAGAAACCAATTCCGACCACACAAGCAAACCCCGTGCCCTCCAGCATATTTATAGCACCTGCTGCTACTTTGAGCAAGCGCAGAGACAACCTTTAGTAGCAGAAGAGAGTAGCAGCAGTGCTCTGAGCTTGCTGAGGTGCTGGAAATAGTAGAAACTAGTCCAAAGGCAGCAATCATACAGTAAAAATGGTTGGTTTGGGTTTTTTTCACCTTTTTTTTTTTTATACTTTTGTTTGTTTGTTTGTTTGAGTTACAAATCATGTTTCTGTGCTGGTGGATGCAAAGACCCCATGTGTGCCCAGAGGACTCTGGATAGATGCATGCTGTAGATCATCACACTTCTGTGTCATGTTATTTTAACTTTGGAATAGGTTTGTAAATAATTTCTAGATTCTTCCAAGCAAATGGTATATTCTTTACTTCCTGTCCTATATTACAGCTGCTTTAAACTGTCAAAAAAGTGAGGGACTAGAGAATATAGAGACTCTCATCTGTTGCCCAGAGCAGTATTTCTCACATAATGCTATAAACTGTAGGAGAATTGAGGGGAGTTTCCTAAACATCATTTATTACAATGGCTTTGCTGCAAATTCCACTAAAATACTCAGGCTAATAGCCTTTATTATTTTCCTGCTCCCAATGATTGTCTTTAATATTAACATTTGTTACTATTATAGCTCCTTATATTCTTACCTGCTGTGTTGAGCTTTGGGTCCTTTCACTGAGCAGCTGCGCAGCCAAGGCTGGGACCTGATATATTCCCGGGGCAGGCGGAGCGGAGACCTTGGCTGGAGATTTAACCCACCCCTCCATCTTCTCGTAGGTGGATGACGCCACGGTCGGCTTGGGCACAGAGGGAACCTGGTAGATGTTTTGTTGGCCTGTGGGCGACTCTGCGGAGTCGCTGCGGGTGGCAGGAGGCAACAGGGCAGCCCGAGAGGCAGCGAGGAGCTGGAGGCGGTTGGCGGGGGCCAAACCCTGCCTGCCGTGGAGGGAGCATTTCCACCAGCCCTCGCTGCCAATGACGTTTTGGTCCAGGACGGTCAGGATGTCTCCTCTGCGGAAGGCCAGCTCATCTGAGCACTCTGCCTTATTGTCGTACAGCGCCTTCGCCAAGGTGGTCTGGGGAGAGGGAGAACATTGGCATTGCACTGTTACCTCAACAAGTGTTAATTAGTTTCTGGTTTGGTGTTTATCTCCACCCTAATTTCAATTTAATTCGAGTCCATGACATTTTTCAGAGAGTTGGTTTCAGAGACTTAAATGTTTGCAACCTATGTCTATTGTTATCTCTTTTCTGCACTGAGCACAGTGATACTGCAATGTATTTCTTCACCGCCTCTCCGCACGAGGCTCTTGAAGAGCACTGCTAACATTCGTTACTTAGAACATCCCTATATAAGAAGGAAGTGCTTTTTGCGTTGCCACTCTGTGAAGTCTTTGTCGCAAACTGCAGCAGAAAATGCATCAGCCATCCAAAAATGGATTGCTACCCAATTTATCTGAGGATTTCAACTGCACATGAAAAAGACTCATTTTTTCTCACCTGAAAACAGAAAAAACCCACAGAAACAAAACCTCAGCCAACTTTGCTTATTTTCCTTTAAACTTTTTCTTTTCTCAGAGCATTATGAAGACAGACCTCTCTGTCACAGCTTAACATGTGCCCAGTGGTAACACCAGCGGCAGGAATACTGCTGAATAGCAGCAATGGGCTGTGGTACCCGTGAAGATCCAGACTCCAGCTAGCTGTGTCCATATCCACCCCAGGCTGCACAGTTGGATCCTACTGAGCATCCAAGGCTAATGATTTATGTGCCACGCTATCTCAGGGAAAAAAAAAAAAAAAAAAAAAATCTAATTATGCACACAGTGACACCAGACAAATGGCTCTGCTGGCTGCTTCCCCACAGGGCAGACCTACCTGTCTTGCATGAAGCCCATAAATTTCTGGCCAAGAGTGTGCAGATCACCACATTTCATTTTGGGTATTTGCTTACTCATTTCAATAAGACAGTTAAAAGGATGAGAAGTATAGCAGCAGGTAGCTTTATTCACCTGAGGCATTGGTGCACGCCATGATGTAATGTTTTTCAGTACAAGATACTATTGGCTTTCAGCTTTCAGATGACGCTGCCTGCTTCCCGGTCAGCAGGACACTGGCTGCGCTTCAGCATTAGTTTCTTATCAGAAAGTGCAAGTAATGTCCAAAGAGATAGCACCCAAATAGGAAACGTGATGCCTTGTATTTTTGTCCAGAGCATTTGCTGTAAGGCAACAGCTGGCTTGGAGCTGCAGCAGAAGCAAACCAATTTGTCAGCTCAGCTGATGAAAATGCCCTGTTGTTCGCTGCACACATTTCTTCACCAGGGTGGCCGTGAACAACGGCCTTTTCATGATACATGGACTTGTCCACCGGCAGCTGCCGGAGATGGACAACAGTCCCATTTACCTTATGTCCTAGCCTGGTTAAAACTGTCTTCTTGCCTCGAACACTGGACTCCGCTTTCTATTTGGACAATGCCAAATAATCTGAAGCACCTGTGTTGAAGTCAGGCGTGTGGGAATCCCACCACAGCCCAGCCTGGGCTTGGGCTTCACACGTTGCAATTGTAAAACCAGGAAAACGGCCAACTTTCCCTATTGTTCATCAACAACACTTCTTGATCTGGCTTAACATTTGATCCCTCATTGTTGAATGATGTGCAGACGTGCTGAAAGACAGACCCTCGTCCTCAGGCCTGAAGAGGATGGGCAGAGGGACACTCTCTCCCTTCTGCAAACACGCCACTGAAACGTGAAGAGCCTTATCCAAGCGCACGCAGGAAACTGGTGGCAGAGCCAGGAAGCCTGAACTCAGGAACTGAGCCCCTGTCTAGTGCGTTAGACAAGAGGACTGTCCTTCCCCGCTGCACCAACACAAAAGAAAATTTAGTTCACAGTGCGGTTTTAAAAGGCATCTAAAATGTTGACAGTGAGCCAGCTAAATCTTTCGTGTTGAAACAGCATACTACACACATCATTGGGCCTTATTCTTTAATTAATCTGTGTATGAACCTATGCAAGTCTAATTTCAAATCTCACTTGTTTTAGAGTAAATATGCTGATTTTCACTAGGTCAAAATTTGGTCTATACACAGTGATAATTTCTGCAGATTATTACAGTAGACTACAGCCTAAGTTATGCAGACTGAGGAGATACTCCTCCCATTCAGCAACAGTAAAACATGGCTGCAGCAGGTATTAGCAGGAAAAATAATTCCAACTGTTCTCTCATCTCTCTTCCTAGGCACTGGTAGGTCTGCTTTGCTGCAAAACGAGTGAAGTGAGAGGACAGCCAGGTCAGTGAAAGCAACAGGGAAGTCTAAGCTCCGTTCAACAGTCACAGAAAGGTTATCAAAACTCAGCTGACCAACATTTCGTTTGGCAATGCCAGATGAGTATATTCAGGGGCGCCTACACCGAATAAAAAGCAAAATTTTCTATCCACTTAGCTTCAGTATTGCACAAGTGCACAACAACATAATTCAATTTTTCATTATTTTGTTTCAGGAGTTCCAGCCATGCCATGGCCATGCTGAGTAAACCAAGGCACTGCGAGGCTGGGTCGGGAACTGCCTCGCTCCTGTCTGTGCCCTGTCCCTCACTGGCACCCAGCCCACAGCCAGCTCCGCAGCTCAGCATCCTACGGGCTCCATCTGCTCAAGTTAAGAAACAGATTACTGAGAAGCCACTGGATGGCAAATCCGTTCCAACTTGCTTTCCGAAGAAATCTCATTTCTGGAGACACTTTTAAAAGAACGCATCCCAGCCAATTGATTTAGTGATCCCAATAACAGTAGGAGCAATTTTATCCGCAGAAGTTACAGGAGGTCCATGGCAGGCAAGTGCCTGATGCCACAGTGGAGAGTGAGGTGTACCGGGTCCGTCCCTGGTTACGTGGAGAGAGGTTTTGCAGCACAGGCTCTGGCTCACCTGATGCGGGGCTATTTCTCAGAAATTGGGCCCCATCTACACCTTCAGCTGTCTAGGACATATGTAAAGCATCACTGTGGCAGCCCCTTTCTATCATGTAACAGAAGCATCTCTGACGTGCCATTAACTATAAACAAGTACTGCATTCCCAGGATCGCAGAGACCTTACGGGATGCTTAGCGAGGAGGAAGCTCTGCTTTGGGGCCAGTGGGATCTGTGTTTCTTCTTTATTACCAGAGGAGCGGAAACCGGCTGTCTAACACTATCATCCACAAAATGCCATCTTGAGCCAGCTGTGTATAGATCGTTGTTATTTTATGTGATCTCGTTAGTGTGTCCTTACAATAACCAACATGTAATAAGTACTAGAGCATCACAGATGAGATCAAAGTGGTTTTCCTCCTTTGATGTTTGTTGCTTGTCCCCCGACAGCAGCCCTGGAAAAAAATCTCCCAAGACAAAGAACATCTTAAAAGCCAGTTCATTGCCCCATGAGCACGCACCTCGGCAGACAGCGCTGCTGCTCTTCTCTCACCGAGCAGATTTCAACAAGACAATGACAGAGCACAGACCTAGAAACAGAGCTTGTGTCCTCTGCAACCTCTTCCCGAGGCACTGCTCTCCCCCATGCAGAGCCCATGACCTCCTTAGAGCAATGCAAATCACTCACATATCTGGAGCCAAGCACACTGAGTAGATTTACAGTGTGAGACCTCTGGTAGCACAGGTTTGGTTAACTTAGGCGTGAAGAAAAGTTCTTGTGCAGCTGGAAGTGTGTCTCCTTTTATTGGAGTGTTGATCAGATGTTAAGATAGTAACCCTCCCTACAAATCTGAATTTTTAAATCTTTATTGTTTGTGTATTCCTTACCCAGTACCGCTCCCACTACAAAACCTTACAGCCCTTGGGAGTCCTCAAAATGAAAGCTGTTAACTCATGTTTATTAATGAAAAAATGGGAATTTTTAATTAAGATAATTGTGCAATTCTATAACGCGAAATTCTATAGTCTTATAACGGGACTACTCACACAGATTGACATCTGTGCTCTGAGCACATGATAAATAACTATTCTAAGGCATCCCCCCATTATTACTAAGAGATCCTGATCCCTCTCCTATTCCGATCTCTGCACAATCATCAGAAAAAAAAACCCTCATAAAATACATGCAAGTATTGATAGAAAAATTCTTCATGATTATCAAAATTATCACCACTATATATATAAAAAAAAAATCTACTGTCTCAAATTTGCTTCTTCAGAAAAACTCCATTGAAATAACCTTAAAAAAGGGATAGTTTTAAACATAGGAGTTTCTTCTGTGGATGAAGATAAATATTTTTCAGCTGCATTTTGCACATAAACAAAATAAATCTGTAAGCACTTTCAGCTCAGAAAAATGGGACTTAAAATATTTGAGAAGGAAAAGATACGACTAAAGACAGCGGGTTGTGTTTGCACAAGTTATGTTCGTGCATCAGTGACACCCTCTGACATGTTTACAGAACTGTTCTCAGTTAATCTCTTCACCTCCGAGCAAAGCTTAAGAAATAAACATTCTCCATTGCCCCCACGCTTCCCAGAGAAGTCCCTGTTAAAGGGCAGCCAAGCTGAATCAATTTAAGTTTTGCCCAGCTCAGTTAATTGCAGACAGAGCTCGCGTGGTCACCAGCCACAGGAGAATTTACCCCAAATGCTCAGATCTTTCTCTACCTGCACGTAGCTCCCTTGCAGCCGCGGGGCTTGCACATCCCACCTGATGTGCAACCTTTTCCGCGACTTGCAGAAGGTCCTTCCACTGTATTTTTTGTTTTGTTCGTGTATTTTGGAAAAGTGTTCTGGTTACACAGATGTTTCAGATCTTTTCTGTACATTTCAGCAAGGAATGAATGTCAGGACTTGCTTTTATTCCCTGTTCATCAGTTAATTGATTTTTGGACGAGGGAACTTGGTGCTAATCAGCACGTTTTATATCCTGAATGTTCAAATTGGTTTTTGATAAAATAAAGAACAAGGAGCTTTTAAACTTCAGGCAGAACCACTTAGAAACTGCGCAGGGATATGCACTACAAGCCAGTTCTGTTAATTTTCCCCCAACTCTCTTTTCTCCACAAGTGCAGTTAATCAAATTCTAGCTCTGTTAGAACTCACAGAAACCCCCACTGTTTTCAGCGCGATCAGGATTTCATCTTCATTCATGGCATTTTTGCACGCGTGGTCTCGTGCACAGGTTAAAGGAAAAATAAGCTGCTATTTCCTGATACTTAAAAAAAAACGAATAAGTGTGTATTTCTGGGTTTTGGTTCCTCCTCCTAGCCAAAGCTTTTTGCCCATATGCACCAATTCCTTTTTTTGAATTCCTAAACATTTTAGTGGCTTAATTATGTTTTACGACAACACTTATTTCCAAGCGTGGATTTAAAGATGCAGAAAGTTCTGACAAGTACCCGTTTTCTCCTTCTGCTCCCCAAGTGATAGGTGCTTCAGAGACTCGTTCGAGCAGGGTCCTTGCTCTCCTTCCTCTGCTTGCCCAAGGAACGGGGAAGAATTCCTAGGACTGAGGAGCAGGCGGCAAGCTTTTCATGTGCAATGACTGCCAGACCTTCTTCCTCCTGGGTGCAGGAGCGTGACAAGACGCCTTCCTCGCATCCCATCTGACCCGTGGCAGAGTTTCTGCTGATTCTCTGGGTGAAACAACAGCGACGGAGGAGGCAGAGGCTCAGGACGGGGGTTTGATTCATAATGAATCAGCGGCAACACCGCAGCTCTCAAGAAGCTGCCGCTTCCGCCAGCTCTCTCAGTGCAGTTATCTTCCCCAAACCATTAATTAGTTAAATTTCTTTTTTAAGACCACCCTTTTGGACAAAGTTGTGTTTATGTGAAATGTTAATATTTCCCTGGGAGAAGAAGTGGATGGTTTTCCCCACCCTCATCTCTGCTCCCGGGCAGCAGCTGCACGTTCCCCTGTCATTAACGTGGGGGCACACGGGGACCGCGCAGACCCTGACCCGAGTCCCAGCTGCCAGAGATCAGCTGGAAGGGCAGGCTCCAGGATTCAGCTTCACGGCCAGACAAATCCTGCTTGGCCCAAAACAAGCTAATGCT